GCTTTAAGAAATTCCTTGGAGCAACTACACGCACCTTACAAGCGGTAGAAAAATTCAAGAGTTTAAGAAAGTCGGTTAAAGGACCCGACAACGCAGCCGAAAAGTCGGTTATGTATTCCAACGAAGTTTTATCAAAGTCGGTTAAAGGACCCGATAGCGCGTTGGACATAGCGCTCTTGAAAAAAGCTGAATTATTAATTTGGAAGATCGTTCAAGACGAGTGTTTTCATATGAAAATAAAATGCTCGAAAGCAAGCAAAAGCGTTGAAAGAAGTTCACGCTTAAGTAAATTATCTATGGAAATAGGAGAAGATAACTTACTCCGTTTAAGTGGGCGTTTACCTTTTAAGTCTAATTTGACCGAGGAAAGTAGAAAACCTATCGTATTAGACGTTAAACACGAAATCGTTAAAATGATGATTAGAGAAGTTCATCATCATTTTGGACATGCCAATCACCAGACGGTGATGAATGAGGTGAACCAAAAATTTTATGTCTTGAACTTGCGTAACGTAGTACGAAGTGTGTCACATCATTGTCAGTGGTGCAGGACATACAGGTCAAAACCGCAGAACGTGCCACAAAGAAATGTTCCTCTGGAGAGAATAGCTCATCATGAACCACCTTTTACATGCTCAGCCGTAGATTATTTCGGACCTATGAGTGTGACTATAGGAAGGCGACACGAAAAACGTTGGGGTGTCTTATTCACGTGTCTGACCACCAGAGCAGTACATCTGGAATTAGCAGCCTCATTGACACCAGCGTCAATGATAATGGCATTGAGGCGATTTATCGCCAGAAGAGGAAAACCAGCCGTTATATACAGCAATAACGGGACAAATTTCAAAGCTGTGAATAAAGAATTATTGAAAGCATGCGAAGAATGCTATGAGGGCATGAAAAATGAGTCATTTAAAAAATATATTAAATGGAAATTTATACCTCCGGGAACACCGCACATGGGTGGCGCCTGGGAGAGGTTAGTAAGATGAATTAAAATTGCGTTGACCGCTACGCTCAAAGAAAGGAGCCCGCGAGAGGAGGTTCTGCATACGTTGCTTTTGGAAGTAGAGCATACTGTAAATTCCAGACCTCTGGTAACATTCAGTATGGATAGTCCTGAAGAGGGTTTGACACCCAATCATTTTCTTCTGGGACGCTCATGTGGTGATCGACCACCTGGATTATTTTTAGAGCAACATCTGACGGGTCAACTCAATTGGAAATCTGCACAGAGGTTAGCCGACCATTTTTGGACAAGATGGCTAAAAGAATACATGCCTACTTTAATACCTCGAACAGGTAATAACGGAAAGTTTATGGAGCCTAAAGAAGGTGATATTGTCTTGATAATAGATCATTCATTGCCACGAAATACGAGGCCGAAAGGCAAGATCAGTAGGACGCTACCGGGACCAGACGGTCACACTAGAGTGGTTGACGTCATTACTAGCACAGGTATCTTGAGGAGACCTACATCCAGAATAATAGTCCTGGTACCCGCGACGCCTCCCAAATGATGGTGCTGATGCACGGGGGGGGAGATTGTTGGCGACGCGCCTATAAGAATATTTCAATTTAATAGTTAACCGATTACGAATAGCTTCTAAACACATATCGTGTTGACATTTATACGTGTGAATTGACGTATTAGTGACATTTTAGTGGCTACGCGGGCTCCGCCCACCCCACCGTTCTATTATGTATGTATTATGGTATTCTATCCGTGATACTATTAGAATATTTGCCACAGTATATCAGATGGGTTTGCAACGGCAGCGTATTTTTTTTCCGAAGAGGCTGCTATGCATAGCTCATGTTTTAGTTTATCTCTGTCGCTTCTTACGACACCCACGGGATGACATTGAGTAGTAAATTCTCTTACGCCGTCATGACTTATTACACTACAGGGTACAATACAGCACATAATTTTTTGTATTACATATTTTATTCAAAAAAAGTGTTAGAAATAATGCAAAGAAGCATAATTTATTTTGAGCTTTAAATTATTTGATATAAGTTATTATATAATGTGAGTTTAAGACGTCTTCATTGCTAACATACTGCTTTAATATTTGTTTTCAAATATTCATTATTATATAATTATTATTGCTTGAATATTTGGTTTTGTCAATATTCGATTCGATTTTAATGGAGCAATATGCAGAATTGCTTACTTGATTGGCAATTGGTTTGAAATTAATTTCAAAAATTATAAATTGCCGCAATTCCAAAGGACCTCAATTTTACAATCATTTCAATTTAATCTTAAAAGATTAAGAAAAACAAATATTCAAGATTGGATTTGATATAGGCCGAATATGGTTGTCACCGAATACGAATATTCGGCCGAAAGTTCGGTAAAACTTTTACCGAACCGAATATTCGGCCGAACATTATTCAACGGGATCACCTCTGTAACTAACCAATTTATATCGAAACTTGTTACCATAAAGCGCGCGAGATTATATAGAAAAACTGACGACCAAAGTAAAGTGAAATCTACTAATGTAATTTAATGTTTTCTTTGTTTGATTCCAAAAACATTTTATCAAGCTTTCTATTTGCTATAATTGGAAATAAATCTAAAGTACCTCGAAAACATAACATTTCAAGTAGATTTAACCCATAAATAAAATATACTTTCAACAGTAAAATTATGAAAGACATGACGTTACTCAATTCGTATAATTCAAGTGGACATTTTTAGTACCACTTAAACGAATATTCGGTGATTTAGCCGCATATTCGGCCGAGTACGAATATTCGGCCCATCTCTCATTTTATATATATATATATATATATATATATATATATATATATATATATATATATATATATATATATCTTCGTCTCAATGTAGAATTGCTTACTTAATTAGCAATTGGTTTCAAATTTATTTCAATTCCAAACGATCTCAATTTTATTCTTGACGCATTTTAAATACATATTATAATATAGTTGAGTAGCAGATACATCTCGCTGACAATGAAACTATGGTTAGTTTTGATGTTCAGTCACTATTCACATGCGTACCTATTGAAGACTGCATATCAATTGTAACTAGAAAGCTAGAATATAATAACATGCCTGCTGAATATGCAGTAATACTCAAACACTGCCTCACATCTGGCTATCTATTGTGGAAGGAAGAGTTCTACAAGCAAGTAGATGGTGTGGCGATAGGCTCACCTGTATCTTACATAGTCGCCGACATATTCATGGAGGACTTCGAGAAGAAAGCCCTTCTTACTGCTCCTGTAAATCCAAGATTCCACAAGCGGTACGTAAACCATACTTTCATAATTTTACCATCTGACAAAGTAACTGCATTTTTAAACCACCTTAACTCTATAAACTCTAAAATACAATTCACAATGGAGTTAGAGGCAAATAATTCTTTAGCTTTTAGTCATTCGAAATGTATTGGAAAAAGACCCATACCAACCGATACTTAAATGGTGAATCTCACCATCATCCTTCACAGTTAGCTACCGTGGGTAAATCTTTGTTTCAGAGAGCACGAGGGATCTGTGACAGAAAACATCTGGCCGCCGAACTTCAGCACGTCAAACAAGTATTGCAAGACAACAAGCTTCGGGTCCCGCGCCTACGTCACAGTGACCGAGTGAAGCCGGCCACAGTCGAGCGTGTACCTGCTGTACTACCATATGTCAGAGGAGTCACAGACAAGGTTGGCTACATCTTGAAGCGAGCTTCCATTAAAACATACTACAAGCCGCCGAAGAAGATTAGTCAATTTTTACCATCCGTCAAGTGTAATATCCCTCTACAAGATGCAGGAGTGTACAAGTTAGATTGTGAATGTGGTCTCTCTTACATAGGTCTAACGAAAAGATCCATAAAAAACCCGCTTGAAAGAACATATAGCTGACGTGAAGCACCGACGCTCCGGGAAGTCTGCAGTCTGCGAACATGTTCAAGATCGTCCCCACCATTACATTCGATTTGATAAACCACAAATCCTCGCAAAAGAACACCGATTCCTACCAAGGATGATACGCGAGGCTATTTAAATTAAAAAAAACATCCAAATTTCAATAGAGAAGATGGATGGGTGCTGCCACCTGCTTGGGATCCTATTATTAACAAAATTAAACCCAAACCTAAGCATACCACTGCAAGACTTCATACTATAAGCTCGTTTTGCGTAAATCGGACCAAAAATTAATATTCAAAAACTGAAGGTAGCCGGACTAACTGTGATATTGGGACGTCAAACATCTCAGCCCCCCCCCGTGACCATGGGTGCTGTAAAGCACCCGAAACGTCGAGAATTACAAATAAGTAAAAGTAGTGAAATAAACGCGATAAAATCCATAAATTTAATTTTATTCAATGTGTAGTGTTCGCGTAAATTTAAGAAATCATTATCTATTCCTCTATCATACATCATATCGCATACTTCATCCATCTTATCATTCATTGCTCCACATACATTCAGCGTAGCTAGACGGGCCTCCGCAATCCTCTTTTCGCCCCTCCGGGAGACAGAACGTGACGGGTGGCGAACCTCGTCGCCGGTTTTCCTCCCGGAGATTCTTCGCACCCCTGCCCCATTAAAGGGGCGCCGGGAACTCGGGGCCATTTCTTTTCTTCTTTGCCTCATGGTGCGAAAACAAGGGGGTGGTATATTTTACGCCGCTACCACACGGCGAGTAGCCGAGTCTGTTCTTTCGGCTTTGTCGCTCTTTTAGCACCACCCGGGGGAAACGTGTAGGGTGGGCCTAGGATTAGGTGGTCGAAGCCTACGGACGCGAGCGACTTATCCCCCAACATTATTCTAATTTAAAATCGTTTTTACTCACACGGTTAACTCTGTTAAAACAATTATTTAGTTAAGGTTATTTTCGATATTGTGTTTCCTTTGATATCTGGCAGCGAAGTTTCGTGCGGTAAATTATTTCACACATTCGATTGGTATTTTAACACAGTGCTTCCATTTAGTTATACGGGCATTTAGTATTACGGGCGCCATGATTGGTAAAGTGTATTATAGTGTTATTATAATAAATATTCTTCAAGTATGTGCAATTTTCAGTTTGACAGGAAGGAAAAGCAGTTTAACATTTGTGATTGAAGACACTAATTCGATGCAATTAGAAATTAATGGTGTACTCAATAGCGCATATAAAATTTTTGATGTTGTTTACGATTCTAATGCATCAGTGATAGAAAATGTTATTATTGTTATGTTTAATGATCCAGGTTAGTTAAATAACAAATTATTTGAATGAGTACAATACTAAATTTAAGATATCTGTTTTGCCACAACCACTATAATGTTTCAAAGATTCTCTAATTGATCACACAGTTTTAGTCTTGATAATGAAATAACTCAATTGGTAGGTATAAAGAATTCCACATGATTGTTTTACTAGTATAGTTGTTTGTTACGTATATTGGTTATTGCCACTTCATTTTAGTGATCATAAATGTATAACTAATATTAATAAAAAAGTCTAATAAAGTTTTTGCTAAACAGGTTAAGTTGCATTATTAAATGATTATAATGTACACGCACGAATATTTTATCTTTATTTAAAAGCAATCATGCATTAAATATAAATGTAATCGGTTAATTTGATAAGAACAATTTGCAAAATAACAAAATAAGCAATATGACTCAGAATATTTATAGCAATTCTAACGATGCCTGCGATGAGCAGTAGATTGATGTCTAATAGCAGACTATTTGCGATTGATGAGAATAATGGTGATCACTTCAAAGGAAGAGAAAACAAATGTTATGATTTTGTTTGCAATTCTGTCAAAAATCCATGTGCCGTTTATTCAAGAGTGCACTGGTATTAAATTTTGTAACATGCATGCCTTTTTGGATACATTTTGACTTCCCACTACAGGGTTAAGATCCCCATTTACTTTGTGTCCTGCGTTCAGATAAAACACTAGAATTTAAATTTCACAAAGATAAAGATACATTTATTGCATAACTGTGTACAATATGATCTTAGTACAAAAACATATAGTTTTAGGCTCAACAGTTTACCCATTTCGGATATGCAACAATTAAAAAAAAATTAAATTTACTACTTATTAACATTAATTTTATTAAAAAACTCATTGAGATTGTAAAAAACATTTTCAATTAACAATTTCTTTAATTTTGTTTTAAACATATTTCCATTTAATTGTTTAATAGCTGGTGGTATACACGAATAGCAGTAATATAGGTACTTTTATAGTAAATCATATTTTTAATAACAGGTAAGCTTATATCATATTTATATTGATTGCGAATGTTTTTCTTTGAATCAGATTTCAAATTAAAATATTGCATATTGTTTTTAACAAATAGACATAATTCTAGGATAAAGATTCAAGTCAGTGTTAGGAAACCCTTTGTTCTGAAAACATCTCTTAATGATTCGGTACTACGCATGTTATATTCTAAGACATTTTTTCTGGAGAACGAATGTGGATTGTATATCTGTAGAGTTTCCCCAGTATATGATACCCTAAGTTAGAAGTGGATAAACGCTTCCAAAATAGGCATTTCTAGTAACACTTATATTTGTAGTCTCTGACAGGATGGACAATGCGTAACATGCACTGGATATCTTTTTGTTTATTTTTGCAATATGTGCCTTCCAGTTTAGATGTTGATCTATTTCAACTCCTAGAAAATTTATGTTCATTACTTCTTTGACTGCTATATCGTTCACGGTTATATTTAATTTATAAGGTACACTTTTGTAATTTCTAAATTGAACGAGTTTGGTTTTTGTCAGGTTTACTTTTAAGTTTATTGACTGCAGCCAATCAGTAACTGTTTTTAAAGTTTTGTTTATTTCATTTTCATAATCAAAATCATTTAAGTCATCATTAAAAATAAATATAGTTGCATCATCGGCATACATTACGCATAGATATGTAATTATGTTTGGGAGATCATTAATATATAATAAAAATAGAGGTGGCCCTAATATGCTGACTTGGGGTACACCCAGTATTACATTTTAAAATTCAGATTTAACTACCTAAACCATTTTTTAGATTCATTATATATCTCGATAACAGTTGCTTGCATTATATTATTTAAATAATTTTCTATTAATTCGAGTGATAGTCCTCTTATTCCTATGCCTTCTAATTTATTTAACAAAATATCGTATTTTACACAGTAAAACGCTTTTGACATATCAATAAAAAGAGTAGAACATTGTTTTTTATCATTGATTTTATGCCAAATGCTATTAAATAGTTTATATATTGCCAGAAATGTAGTTTTATTCTTTTGAAATCCGTATTAATTTTTATTTTGAATATTATTAATATCCAAAAACTTTGTGATTCTGATATATATTACTTTTTCACAGTAACAATTGTGCGCAAAGATACGATAGATCGCGATGTATTTAAGAAGTCATTAAAGTCAATAACAGTTCACGATGGTGGCGACTGTCCGGAGTTAGCGATGTCTGGAATAGAATTAGCACTTAAAGCAAGTCGCCCTGGTTCCTATGTATACGTTTTCACAGATGCTGTTGCAAATGATTACGCTAAGTTTGAGAAAGTAAAAAAAAATAGCGATAGAAAAAGAGATGCAGATAAATAACGTGTAGATTTTCTTTGTACGGTAGAAAATTTTATTGCAGATAAATATTATGTCATAAAAATATGTCAGAATTTCCCCGCCACGTGAATAGATTACATAAAGGCATTCATAAACCGCCAAAGAGGGTTTTCAAACTATAAAAGGTTAAATGCATACTTGGATACTAATTTCGACAAAGTTTAGAACTGCTATAACTAAATAAATATTTAAGTTACTACAGGGGCAGTGGATTTGATCGACGAAATTGGCGATATATTAAAAATGGGCCAAATTAAGAGTACCCTTAACCAACGAGCATGTATACGTAGGTATATGGATGTGAAGGAGGCGAGAGAGGTATGTCAGGATCGTTCTAAATGGAAGTCTCTGCCTACCCCACTGGATGACAGGCGTAAGTGTTTATGTTTATATTATGTAAGTATATATCTGTATTTTCTCGTAGTAAATATTTAACACATTAAGTTTGTATTACAAGTATAAGGAGACCGCTTCATAATATGTTTCACTGATATGTGAGCAAATCTTTTTTTTTTTAATTAAGGATAGCAATAGAAATACTAAAATCACACGTGACATTTAATGATTCCATAAATTGGTTGTGACTGAAGGCGAACAACTTGAGGTCATCCGTGTAAAGAAGATGAGTCACACTTGTCTCTTCCTTATGAAGCTGAAATTCGCCCTCGAAGCCCTCCAGTAATCTACTGAGAGGGTTTATACAGAGGCTAAACCAGATTGAACGTAAACAATCACTCAAGAAGGACCTCTTTATATCCTTATCCAGCAGCAGTTATTCACTCGCTAAAATGACTAAGGATCGAAATCCACTGCCCCTGTAGTAACTTAAATATTTATTTACTCGTAGTTATAGCAGTTCTAAACTTTGTCGAAATTAGTATCCAAGTATGCATTTAACCTTTTATAGTTTGAAAACCCTCTTTGGCGGTTATGAATGCCTTTATGTAATCTATCCACGTGGCGGGGAAATTCTGACATATTTTTATGACATAATATTTATCTGCAATAAAATTTTCTACCGTACAAAGAAAATCTACACGTTATTTACCTGCATCTCTTTTTCTATCGCTATTTTTTTTTACTTTCTCAAACTTAGCGTAATCATTTGCAACAGCATCTGTGAAAACGTATACATAGGAACCAAGGCGACTTGCTTTAAGTGCTAATTCTATTCCAGACATCGCTAACTCCGGACAGTCGCCACCACCGTGAACTATTATTGACTTTAATGACTTCTTAAATACATCGCGATCTATCGTATCTTTGCGCACAATTGTTACTGTGAAAAAGTAATATATATCAGAATCACAAAGTTTTTGGATATTAATAATATTCAAAATAAAAATTAATACGGATTTCAAAAGAATAAAACTACATTTCTGGCAATATATAAACTATTTAATAGCATATGGCATAAAATCAATGATAAAAAACAATGTTCTACTCTTTTTATTGATATGTCAAAAGCGTTTTACTGTGTAAAATACGATATTTTGTTAAATAAATTAGAAGGCATAGGAATATGAGGACTATCACTCGAATTAATAGAAAATTATTTAAATAATATAATGCAAGTAACTGTTATCGAGAATGAATCTAAAAAAATGGTTGAGGTAGTTAAATCTGAAGAAATTGTTAATTGAAAATGTTTTTTACAATCTCAATGAGTTTTTTAATAAAATTAATGTTAATAAGTAGTAAATTTAATTTTTTTTAATTGTTGCATATCCGAAATGGGTAAACTGTTGAGCCTAAAACTATATGTTTTTGTACTAAGATCATATTGTACACAGTTATGCAATAAATGTATCTTTATCTTTGTGAAATTTAAATTCTAGTGTTTTATCTGAACGCAGGACACAAAGTAAATGGGGATCTTAACCCTGTAGTGGGAAGTCAAAATGTATCCAAAAAGGCATGCATGTTACAAAATTTAATACCAGTGCACTCTTGAATAAACGGCACATGGATTTTAGTATTTCTATTGCTATCCTTAATTTAAAAAAAAAAACGATTTGCTCACATATCAGTGAAACATATTATGAAGCGGTCTCCTTATACTTGTAATACAAACTTAATGTGTTAAATATTTACTACGAGAAAATACAGATATATACTTACATAATATAAACATAAACATTTCCGCCTGTCATCCAGTGGGGTAGGCAGAGACTTCCATTTAGAACGATCCTGACATACCTCTCTCGCCTCCTTCACATCAATATACCTACGTATACATGCTCGTTGGTTAAGGGTACTCTTAATTTGGCCCATTTTTAATATATCGCCAATTTGATCGACAAACTTTCGCCTAGGACTCTTCCATTCACTTCTGCAACATATATTTGGTTAAAAAAAAATAAAAAAATAAAAAATATATATATATATATATATAATTACTTCGATTATTACTTTATACTGCTATTTCTATCTGACGCTAGCAGCAGTGTACAGATTATAATAAGATTCATTTGAATAACTAGATGGAATTAAGGCTATCTGTCTAGTGTCAGGAGTGACTATGTACCTATGGACAACTTTCATGGAAGTTTGTGGTGCGTTTCTAGATGGGCTACTGTATAGAAACATATCAAATACACATTGGGCTCGTCTTTGAGTCTCATTTTATGAGGATATATGTTTAATTTTGTGGTAATTATAATGATAATTCCTAGTGTACATTATGAAGAATGGAATTAAAAAAGGAGCTCACCGAGATAGGGCTAAGATTTTTAATTCAAATTTTTCAGATTGTGTTCGTGATATCATGAACGTGTTCGGAATATAACGCTACATCTCCTGAATATCAAGTTTGTGAGAAGTTAGCTGAAGCTACATCAGGCCACATTTTTAGTGTCGGAAAGAGTCAAGTGGAACAGGTATTAACTTAGTAATACGACTTAGATTTTTAAATCAAACTCGGAAAACTGGTTACGCAATAATACAAATTATTACTGTGCAGTAACAGATGACAGGTTAAAAAGACAAACTCATGACATAACCTATTGGTGCATTTACAAAGTATTGTATACATTACACTCTCCAAGCCACAGAGTTGTAACTTACAACATTTACTAACCCATGAAAAACACAATTTACTAAGACATACAATAATAAGAAAATAGAAAGATTGACCTTATAACCGTTTTAAAAAGTTTATAGTGAATGCATGTAACTCCAGATAAAATCTTCGTAATAATGATCCTTTACATGGGTGTTTTACGTGGTAGAGCCATGCTGCAGGTATATTGTAGTTGTAGCACAAATAAGTCGGCTCAACCGGGACAGGATCACACACTCACAGAATACTAGCGTAAAATAGCAGCGTAATGCTGCTTTGTTTCGTATGGTGAGTGTAGAGAACCGTAGACCCCTTTTACTGGAATCGAGGCATTCCATCTAAGCCTCAGGGGTGACAACGCATCTGCACTTTGATCCTTGGTTGAGGATAAATGTGGATGGCTATGGGTCACAGCATCCATTTACCATCAGGCAGACTGTGTGCTCGTTTATCACCCAATGCTATAAAAATGTATAATATTTAAACCCAAGTAAGTACCAGTTCAGTGCCACTCACTCAATCTTGCCGATCTTCCCAATGAATTCTTTCATTTGCCTGCTTTTTAGAAATGGCGCCATCAACGTCGATTAAGTTACTCCAGAAACTGATTCTTGCAAAATGATATACTTAATCCAAGTTTAGTGTCCTATAATCTTAAATCGTAACGTTTTGTTGTACAGAAAAGTTTACATGACTTCTTCCTCCCGATGCGTAATTGTCGCTTAACATGCATTTTATAAATTTAATATGTCTGTACAATTGTCGATTTTTGCAGCTTTATAAAGGACACATTGTCACGTTCAACTTATATACCGTTGGTATATTTCGGTTACTTCCTCTTTACTTTATGGGGATGTTCATTACAAAAATAAAACTCGTTGAGCGAACTTACAAAAGCTTCTTCATACGGCCATCAGTGCATGACCATGTCACAGATCAATATTTCGTTACAGGTACCGTGATTTAAAGTAAGTTATTATATAATAAGATAAAATATTTAAAATAAGCTTAATAGAATCTTTATTCTCTGATCTGCTGAAGATATAAGCTGAATAAAATTATATAAAATTAGTTGATACACATTTATTTTCATTAATATATTAAATGTTTTTAAATGCCTTGTCGTTGTATAGAGAAAATTATTGTTTTAAATTATTTTAGCGTAATTAATTTTGTATTAAACATATTTATACAGCATATATATAACTACGCAAAATTCAGAGAGAGTTATTATACATATTATGCCAATTTTTACTTGGACCGGGTAGTGGTAGCATATCCATTACCCCACATCGTTCCGTAGGTGTCGTAAGAGCGATAGAGGGAAACAAACAGCAGCGTATTCCTAATAACAATTTGAAAATAAAATACTGCAGTTGCCCACCTATTTGCCAGAGTGACAACTATGGTAAATATCCTTATTTAACCGGGAAATTATTTGTTTCCATATTTAAGGAGACCGGTAGAATTGTAAGCAGCATACTGAGAGTGTGTAAGAATGTATTTTAATTAACGACGTAAAATCGTATGCGATTCTGTAGTTCTGTACCGTCATTAACAGGTCTTTCCGTAATACTACTTAATTTATTAACTTATCTTGGTAAAAAATATTTTACCGTTGACTTAATATTAAAAATATGGTCTTTAACTTTTAGGTTGTCAATGTAGTAGATCCAAAACCAGGTGTTCATAGTGTCGAAGTAGGAAGTTTAAGTGATACAGCAGTGACGGTGCTTTGTACAACAAATGTTGATTTTCAATATGGATTCTCCACCATTAAGCCCTCTTCAAGAAACGATACAACAAATCAGCCTATCCCAGGTAATATAAATTTTCCCTTTTTGTTCATATCCGTTACCGAAACCAAAATGTTTTGTGCTATTAGATTCCACATGATCGTAGTGATCGCGGAATAATGTAAGAGATACATTTTAATAAAACTAAATATAAAGTTCTTTCGTGTTTAATTTAAATTATTTTTAATTTTTAATTCCGGACCTTTCCGGTGCTACACAATACCCATGTTATGGGGAACTGAGGTGTTCAACATGCTGATGTCATAGTTAATCGGTATTAATTTTGGTTCGATCTACGCAAAATCAACTTACAGTATTTTGAAGTCTTGTAGTGGTATGCTTGGATATATTTTACTAAATTTTATTAGGAAGCAGATGACAGCTTTCAGCCATCTTTTCTATTGAAATTTGGATGTTTTTAGACAACCTTAACTCCGGAAACACTATTTCTGGAGGCAAAAAATTAAAATAATTCTTTTTTCTTACCCTGTCGTTCAGATTCAGCCCTAACATACTCCTTAACGACCGCATTTCTACTGCGTTGATTCTACTCTAGTGCTTCTTCTGCCACACCCAACTTTCACTACCATTCGTCAAAGTAGGGACCAACACAACATTGTGAATTGCCATATGTGCCTTTTTTGACACATTTTAACTCTTCACAATAGAGTGCAGGGCCCCATTTACTCTATTTCCCGCATTCACTCGTCGTTCTATATCCTTATCATATCTCCCATCCCTGCTAAATACGCAGCCCAAATATACAAACTCATCTACTTGCTCGATCAACAGATAGCAGTTTTGAAAATACCTTCACGTGCCTCGCGCTTTACAATCTCTTAAATTCCATTTAACTCGTAAATTGGCAAGAGTTTGTGTTTTAAATCGAAATTATTTTTAATACTTTATGCAGTGATATAAGGCAATGACAAATGTTTGAATCAATTTTCCTTACCATCAGAATGAAAGATCTTCAGTATCAACAATCCTCAGAGGCTCTTCTAAAATAATATTACTTTCAATATCCAACAATTGTACTTTTTGTGGTTTTATTTTTTCTCCTTTAGTTATAAGTTTAATAGACAAATAAGATTTTCTCCCTGAAATTAAAAAAAGTATATCTCACAGGACCTATTTACACGAGAATGACACATTGTATTAAACAAACTTTACGGATTTCATCAGGTTAAATTTGAATTATTTTTAACTCGCTTACTATATATTGTAGTCTTACAGTGGAATGCTTGAATTTTAATTTTATTAGTTATAGGACCCCAAGTAGATGGAAATACCCAGTCATCTTCTGTATTGAAATTTAGATGTTTTTATTTTATTCAATGTTCTCGTGAATCAAACTTGGTAGGGAACGGTGTTCTATTACAAGGGTTGGGGGTTTATAAAATCTAATATAATGGCTGGAGTGACCTTGAACAGGTTGACTTGCTGCACAATTCCCGTAGCGACGGCAACTTTTTGGCGGAAAAAAAAAATTCAATACCCGAGAAGCAGTACGAAAGGTTATTGAAGAATTATTTGCCTCTCGTCCAGCTGATTTTTTAAAGCAGGGCATCAGTAAATCACCACTGCGTTGGCAAAGACACACCGACTATATGGGTAATTACTTTGATTAATAGAAATAAAATATAAAGCAAAATATTCGTTACCTTAGTTCATAAAAAACAGCAATAAAAAAAATTCACAGCTAAAGACCTAATGTATAAATATTAAACAAAAAATATACACAGCCACATAAAATTCATCATCATCATCATTACAGCCCTTCACAAAGCACGGTTCTGAGCCACCTGTATTCTACGACTTCCTATATAAATAAATTATATACATATAAATTAAATAAATTACATACGTTATATAATTTAACATTTCATAAATACTACTAATGAGATTATTCTACTAGTTTATTTAAATAATGTTCGCGAACTTTCTTGTTGAAGGCATAACAATTGATAACCTTTCAAGTTTCAAGAGCGTTCCAGAGGAGTATAGACTGTACAGTGAAAGAAGAATGCAGGAAGCCAGATTTATGAGAGAGACACTTTAGTAAAAGGTTATTAGAAGGACGTAGGTTTCTGTCATGAATACCATGGATACCTACTATCATTGCCTGACATTGGATGGATTAACAGTTAAACCAAACCTGTCAGACCAGACGTAATATGTTTTCCTTGTAGACCATATCCACCGCAGCGAACACACAATCGACATTCGCCTGTCCGGACAACTGTAGGTCATCGGCACATAGATGATACGCGAACTGAGTGTTGTAGGTGATACTATTAATAAATACTGAAAATAACAAAGGACACAGAATACCGCCTTAAGGGGTATGTCTGCTGCTGCTTACGTCCCGAAGATAGTTGTCAAGTAAAGCCAGCACATTGTTTTTTTTTGAAAAAAAGAGACCACATTCACAATCAAGATTGTACGCATCTATATATTGTAGATGTAGAGCGATGTTACACTTGGTTGAATAGATTGTGAAAATGAACTGATCTTCTTCGGCGACTTGTAGTGTTTTGATCAAAGTTTACTTAAAGTTGTAGCCAATTTTGTTTTGGACGCCTCTGACATATAACATATCACTCGGTCACTGTAATGTAGGTACGGGAACCGTAGCTTGTTGTTGTGTAATACAAGCTCGACTTGCTGGGGCTCGCTGGTGATTATTGACACAGATATCTTGTGCTATCAAAAATAAAAGATTTCTCCACTGTAGCTAACTGTAATAGTTCGTATTGAGATTCGTTATTAAAATATCAGTTAATTCGGCTCATTTTTCCTATATTTAGTACGTCTAATAATTATTAGGATTTTGATTGACTATGTAATGAGAGTTAAAGAATTATTTTAATTATTTGCCTCCAGAAATAGTGTTTCCGGAGTTAAGGTTGTCTAAAAAACATCCAAATTTCAATAGAAAAGATGGCAGAAAGCTGTTATCTGCTTCCTAATAAAATTTAGTAAAATATATCCAAGCATACCACTACAAGACTTCAAAATACTGTAAGTTGATTTTGCGTAGATCGAACCAAAATTAATACCGATTAACTATGACATCAGCATATTGAACACCTCAGTTCCTTAGTACTACTAGAGTCAATACCTGCATTGATCATTTTATGGTCAAAATTTATAACTCTTGGAAAACTATTGTTTTTGAACAGCAAATAACTGATCATTCACCTATAATTCTTTATATAAACAATGCTGGTGTTAGTAAAGATATATTAAAATATAAGAAATAACCGTTAATTATGAAAGGATCAAAGAAATACTGCTGGGAGAAAACTGGCATGATGTTCTACATATTAGTAACATAAATTCAGCCACTAAGATTTTCACAAATAAACTTTATTCATTGGTTAAACAGAACTCGCAAATCAAAACTATTACTAAAAAGCACCAACCTCTCAAACCATGGATAACAAGAGGAGTGGTAAGATCTATAAGAAAAAGAGATAATCTACATATGAAAACTAAAAAGTTACCAGATAATGAAGAACTAAAGGTTAAGTATATAAAATATAGAAACATGTGTAACAAAATTATTAAAAATCTGAAAAAAGAATATTATAGAAATAAATTAATGAAAAATCAAGGAAATACAAAAGGAACGTGGAAGATAATATAAGAAGTGTGTTATTTAAATGTCGCAAAGAGGCCTTCTAATACTTTACTAAATATAGGCAACCATCCTACACAGTCGCTGAATGAAGTAAATTTATTTTTCATCTCTGTCGGTGAAATACTTACAAAAGATACCCTACAGAAGATGAATACCTCTGATCGTGAACTTGCGTTATTGATAAATAAAACAACCCACCAGTTGGCTCTATGTCCCTTACACCAACTGATCCCGTGGAGGTCAGGAACATTGTACTCGGACTCAAATCGCACAGTGCTCCTGGCTGGGATAATATCACACCTAAATTACTAAAGACATTTATAATATTCCTCGCTGAACCTATAACACATATATGTAATTTGAGTCTTGAAACAGGCATTTTTCCAGCAGCTTTCAAAAAAGCTATTGTGTGTCCTATTTATAAAGCAGGTGACCCCCATAGTCCTACAAATTATAGACCTATCTCTATTCTTTCAACTCTGTCTAAGGTGTTGAAAAAATTGGTTAAAAAAGAGGCTCATGCGATATCTTGAGTTTAATAATCTACTGAGTGAAAATCAATTTGGATTCAGAGAAGGTAAATCAACCGAAGACGCAGTTCTAACGCTAACTAGAAAAATCTCTACATACCTCGATGGTGGATACAAGTGCATGGGTGTCTTTTTAGACCTCCAAAAGGCTTTCGATACCGTTTCGGTTCCAATCGTTTTGGCCAAGTTGGAGAATATGGGGATCAGGGGGATAGCTCGTGACTGGTTCGCAGATTATCTAGTCGGAAGATCACAACGTGTACGGGTAGAAGGTCATGAGAGTGATAGTGCAGGATGCACCTACGGCGTTCCACAGGGCAGTGTACTAGGGCCTCCTCTCTTCCTCTTATATATAAATGATCTGTGCAAAATTAATTTTCCTAATCTTGACTTGCTCATGTTTGCAGATGATACTGTCTTACTCGTCCATGATAAAAATTGGCAAGAAGTGACAGACCTGGCGGAAGACTTTTTTTGTTTTGTGTCTCTCTATAGTAACGCAATGGTTAGAAAATAACCTTTTATCCCTTAATATCAACAAAACGAAGTTCATGTGCTATAGCAAGACAACATCAGGAGGACCTGATGCCGATGTTAGAATTAAAATTCATACATATCCATGCAATCGTAGTAGTCGACCTGACCAGTGTAACTGTTCCTTTTTGTTGCGTGTAGATTCAATAAAGTACCTTGGGGTTGAAATTGATGATAAAATAAATTGGAAAATGCATATAATGTTATTGTCTACAAGATTGAGAAAACTCATCTATGTTTTTAAAACTCTAAGAACAGTTGTTGACTACAAATTAGCATTACAAACCTATAAAGCCCTTGGTGAATGCATTATTA